TCCCCTCCTGTCCCCTCCCCCTCCCCTGTCAGGGACTGGCAGGCAGAGCTGGGGGCTGGGTCTTCCCTGTCACTTAGAGACTCCCTGCCAGGTCTGGCACTGTCTACCCCTCCCGCCAACTTGGGGAGTAGAGGATGTGGTACCCAACCCCAGCACTTCGGGAAGCTGTCAGTTCTCTTCCACCTAATAACTCTGCGGGATCAGCAGGCAAACACACACATTCATTACCAAGTCTAATGAGGCTGGCAGACAAGTGGCATTAATCATTTTTGACTGTACCTGGGATTCCAGACCCCCGTACTCCGTAATCAGAAAATTCCATGTGCTGATGAACAGGGGGTGGGGAGGAGGTTCTCAGCCCCCATTTAATCCTTTCATTTTCATCTTTGGAGAGGACAGAAAGCTGGGAGGAGAAAAAAAGGAGGGGGGGACACAGTGTGTGGCTCTGGGCCTGTGGAACCCACTGGGTTCTTTTCCTGTCCCTCCTTCCTCCCCATAGGTGCTTTCGCAGGAAGATCCCACTTACAGGCAGGGACAGAGCCGAGGCAGGGGTGGGGGATGCATTCCAAAAAACCAGGTGTCCACTTCAGGACTGAATTGTCCAACCTCCAAAGCCAAGGCCAAGGCATGAGAACCTGTCCTGCACTTCAGTGCCACTGGGTATACTTGGCAAATGCTTCCAGGAGCCCAGGGTAAACATAGGAGCCTTCACAGTGCACACTTCCCCCGCAGCGCACACCAGAGTCTACGCCAGCGTGCTAGGGGCCTCCTTAAATATATACATATTTATAAATCAGTGGATGATGGAGCCACAGGAGCTTGAGGCTGCTCACCTGCCAGTCCTGCCGAGTGGAGGTAAACTCAACCAGAGAGGTGGTACAAGCCCAGTGAGATACCAGCCTGGCTCAGAAAGAAAGGCCTCAGGCCAACACCTGTGCTGGTGCCTTAATTAGAGCCTAGCACAAGAGGAGGAGGTTGGGGGGCTGAGCCCCAGGCCCCCTTCAACCCTGTAATTAGGATCACTGGACACACCCTGGCTCGGAACCCCTCCCCTTCAGAGAGAGCCGGCCTGTGACCTAGACACTGTGCTTACTAACTGCGTGCCAGGTGTGGTTAAGCCCCTTCTATCCAAGCTGGGCTTGGATAGCTCCCATTGCCAGATCCTTCTGCACCAGGCTGGCTTCTCCATCCACCAGAATGAGATGAGAGACGAGGGGCCACGTCTCTGTGGCTTATGCAGGAGACAGAGGTGGGTGACCTGTAGGGGACAGTTCCCGAGGATGAAGGCTGAGGCTGGCCAGTGAGTTCCCTAGCATTTGCCATTGACCTGTCCTTCCTGAAAGGCTGGTGATAGAACACACCTGTTCTCTCCAAGTCTTCCCACTCATGCCCACTAGAGTTCCTTCTTTAATAAACGTGATTTCTTTAACCTCCAAAACTAATATTAACTCTGAACTTTCCTGTAAGCAGATGTAGCATTCAGCAGGGCTTAGCTACACCCTTTGAAGTAGGGATGAGTTGAAGTTAGACGAATACTCATTAAGACATCAAATATCAGAAGTTTTCTAGAACCTTCTTGTCTTTATTAAAAGCCCATTTGCAGGGTTGGCACCATGGCATAACAAGTTAATCATCTGCCTGTAGTGCTAGTGTCCTGTGTGGGCACCAGTTTGAGTCCCAGTTGCTCCACTTCTAATCCAGTTTCCTGCTAATGCACCTTGGCAGGCAGTGGAGGAAGGATCAAGTGCTTGGGCTTCTGTGCCGCATGGGCAATCCAGAAGAAACTCTAGGCTCTCGGTTTTGGATTGGCCCAGCTCCAGCTCTTGCAGCCACTTGAGGAATGAACCAGCAAATGAAAGATATGTCTCCTTTTCTCTGTAATTCTTTTAAAGCCCATTTGCCAACATAAGTCATTTGCCAAGTTGAAGTCAGAACCTTCAACTTCCCAAGCTCTGTGCCTGGCATGTTGCTGGGTGTGAATGATGCCAAGCAAGGGGTTAGGGTCCTCCTGACCTCTCAGCCACTCACTGAGGGTCTTGGCCCCAGGCACTCCCCATTCACGGCAGGTGTCTGATGAAGAACAGCAGGCAGCAGTGGTATCTCTCACTCACACTTAATACTCAAACTTCCTGCCATGCCGGTGGCCCCCACTTCCCTGGGAGGGTCTGAGAACTGCACATGTCCCTGGAAAGCTGAGCCTGGAGGCACCACGTGCCTGGGTGGATCATTACAGCACCTCTGGGAGCAGATAATAATGCTCCCAGGACAGGTGCCAGGTGCCCTGCTAAATGCTTCACAGGTAGTAATCCACTGTGTGCTCGCGTGAGCATAGCGATGTGGGCCGTATTATCATCCCCATCTTTTTAAACAAGGGAACAGAACACAGAGGTGCCAGGCACCACACAGACTAATTGACAGCTGGGGTTCCATTCATGTTCTACATCACTGCACCATATGGTCCTTGGTCTCCTAAAAGGTCTGCATGTCCTGACCCTGGCGTTTCCAAAGGAAAGCCAACCAACTCCACCAGGGAATCTGACCTGAAGAGACAGGCCTGGAGTCCAGCCTGCTGGCACTCCGCCCAGCCCTCATCTGATAATCACAGCAGTTTTTGACAATTCTATCCACTCAAAACGATTGATGAGATATCAGTAATGACTAACACAGTCTCCTCCCAAGAGTCCCAGGTTCCAGTTCGCTTCCTCCCTGGTGTTCGGACATCCTTGGCTGGTGTCTGGGAAATACCAGGACATGAAGAGACTTTACTAAGCCACACACCAAGAGGCTGTGCCTGGACGCAGGTGCTTCTCATGGAAGGAAGCAAACGACTTCCACGTGACATGACGATAAGTTCATCTCATCATGGCACATCACACCTATGTACCCACACAAACCCACCATTACCACCAAACAAAAAAATATATATAAAAATATGTGCAAGGGACTAGCATTAGGGCACAACAGGTAAAGCTGCTACCCACGACACTGGCATCTCATGTGTCTGCTGATTTGCATCCCAGCTTTCCATTTCTGATCCAGGTCCCTGCTAACGGCCTTGAAGAAGCAGTGGAAGATGACCCACGTATTTGGGCCTCTGTCACCCACATAGGAATCCTGGTGAAGTGCCTGGCTTCAATCAGACCCATTGCTAACTGTTGCTGCCATCTGGGGAATGAACCAGCAGATGGCTGATCTCTCTCTGTCTCTTCCTCACTCTGTAACTTTTTATACAGGTCCTCAAAGTCCAAAACCAAACTGCTACAATCCCCATGAGGCCAACATCCTGGGATTCCCCTACAAGACACCCATGACCACGAGGACACAGCCTCTCTCTGTGTGCCAGGTCAGTGGATGCAGTCAAGTACCCCAGGACCCTTGAGAGGGCAAAAGCCGCTCACATGTCCAAAACCAAGCTGCATCTGACTCTGTTGCAAGGTCAAAGGCGACTGGCCCACACCAGCAGCCCCCACTGAACCACACCACACACCCTTCTCTAACTTGGGATCTTCTCCCTCTAAGAAGCACCTGAGCTGTCAGGGCAGCAGCACCATTTCCTCCCCTCCGATTTTGCCTTGCACTTGATGCTGACTTAGAACCTGAGTTTGTCAGCCTGGCAGACAGCTGTGGTGGGGGATGCATCACCTGGCCTTGGCCATGGGCTGTGCAGATGGAAAAGACAAGTGTCCCTGACCAGCCAGGAGCTGCTGCTGTGGCCTGGGGATCCCAGGTCCTCAGCTGAAGGACATAAACCCCAGTCACTGCTAGAGATGCTTGATAGGGGCTGTGCTGTTGTGGCCTGCATTCAGCCTGCAGAGATCACACACACACACACACACACACACACACACACACACACACACACACACACACACACACACACACACACACACACACACACACACACACACACACACACACACACACACACACACACACACACACACACACACACACACACACACACACACACACACACAGTCATGGACATCTACCAAACATAGCACCTGCAAACACAGGATGTGGGGCGTTCGAAGGCCCTGTTAAAGGCACACACACAGCTAGCAGTGGAAGGAGAAAATAATACTCCCAACCTCTGGGTGACAGCAAATATGCTCCTTGCCACTACATCTCATCAGGCTTTGACAGGAGCCTGGCTCAGGAGGCAACTTGGGGAGGAGCCTGAGCTCAGGGAGGTTGGGACCCTGCGGCCATTTGGGTCCATTTTAGTGCATGAGAAGGGTGTGGATCCTGGCAGGGAGAGAGGAGTAAGAGAACATGGCCAAATATTGCAGCAAAGTCCAAAGGTTTGAGGGGCCCGAGTGGGGAACGCAGGAGGGACACGGTCCAGGGCAGTCTTAGGCTCCGCACCCTTGGCAGCCCAAGCCTAACGAGGTCAAACAGCTGTTTGCCACGAACTCTAACAAGCCGGAGGCAAGCGGGCATCTCAGTGACCAGTCTTCCCAACCAACTCCCCCGAACTTAAAACAAGAGCAAAACAGAATGACCTTGCGTCCGCGGCCATCGCGCGCGCACGCCTCTGTGTGTGTGAGTGTGTGAGTGTGTGTGTGTGTGTGTGTGTGCCCGCGCGCGCGCGCGCGCGCGCACGAGCACGCAGTGGCGGCCCGCGGACCTGTGTTTTGGGGGTAGCAGGACTAGGGCAGTGGATGCTCGCACTTGAGTTTGTGTGCGCGCCGCCAGAGGGGCGGGGGAAACTGACGCATCTGTGTATGTACGCGTGTGTGCACTCGGTGGAAGGGCGGGGGGCGATGCGCAGGCACGCACCTGTTAGGGCCGAAGTGTTTGTTAAATGCCGCATAACCGTTCCCTTACAGGGAATCATGAAGCTAAGAGTCTCTGGGAGGAAGAGGCAGTCACCTTAAACTCGAGCTCTGCTCCGGAGATAAAGAGGGCAATGGCCTTGTTCCCACGCAGCCCCCTACCCACCCGCCCCTGGACTGCGGATCTACCGCGCCCCTCCCCAGCCCTGCCCTCACACTCACTAGCGCAACGTAGCGCCTGCCGCAGCACCTCGCGTCCGCACAGGTCACACCAGCCATGGCCTCCCCGCAGCGCCGATTCCGCGAAACAGTGGCCCTCGCCTCGCTCCGCCGGGACGCGAGGATCCTGCGGTTGTTCGAAGATGCTCCGCACGTCGCGGGGCCGGGGAGCTCCAGGCCGCCGCCGCAGCCTCTGCTGCAGACCTGGCCGGAGAGGGCGAGCGGGTCGAGAGGCCCGGGGTGGGGGCTCTGAGCCCCCCAGAGTAGCCCGGCGGCCGCTGCGCCCCTCTTGCGTCCGGGGGGCAGTGGAGAGGGGCGCGGAGCCACAGCGGCGCGAGGACCGGCCCGAGGGCGGCGGTTCGGAGCCACTCAGGCTTTGCAGATAGCGCGGAGGTTCGGGATCCAAGAGGAGCGGATAGGGGCGCTGCCCGATGGCCGAAGACGCCATGGCCATGCCGGGCTAGTGGCGGTGGCGGCGCCAACTGCGTTACTCCCGAGCCAGCCCCGAGAGAAGAGGCGGCCCCACGCGAACGCGCCTTTAAAGGGACCGCAGCCGCGGGGCGGGGCGGAGGCGGGGAGACTTCAGAAAGGCAGGAAGGGCGACCTTAGGGGACGGCTGCGGGGCGACGGGACCTGGCCGGTGGCTGGCTGCACCCGGACGAGTGCGGGGCTGGGTGGTGGGGCAGTTGCCAGCTGCCACCCCGGGAAGTGCTGCGCCCGAGAACTCTGTACTCTGCAACTCTGAAGGCGCGTTTCTGGAGGCGCCTCTGCGGCGGCCCTGGCCTTTCGCGCTCGCTCACAGCTTCCCGGCACCGAACCCAACCCCACCTGCACCCGCACACCCAGCGAGCTCACGCGCGCAGGATTCAGGGACCGGCCAAGGTTGGGGTCCGACGAAGAGGGCAATGCAGCCAGGGGTTGGCCCTCAACGCTCGCCCAGGGTCGCACTCTTTTCGTTCTTTCCCTGTCGGCCGCCGCCCCCATCGGGGATGCCCCTCGGGGATGCCCGCTGGCGTCCCGCAGTCGAACCGAGTCCCAAGACGCGGGGGGGAAGGGAGGGGAGGACGCACGCACCCGGGCGGCGGCGGCCCGCAGAGCGACTTCCATCCGCGCCGGGTTTCCCCGTCCTCAGCTGCCCTGCCCAGCCCAGCTCAGCTGACTCTGCTTTCCCGGAAGGTCCTGCGTTAGGAGTAAGGCTCGGTGCCCCATGCCTCGTGTCCCGTGCACGGGGCCTGGGAAGCTTTCACTCCGATCCATATCTCAGCCTGTACTGCGGGAATCTCGGTCCCGATGCGCACGCCTTGTTTTGCGCCTGGCTTTTCTCCCCAGCCTGGATCCAACCAGGTTCAGCACTTAAGCCCTGCGCCCTCTGTTACCATCCTGAAAATTCTAAATTTTCGACCACGTATGGGGCCTCTTCTTTCTGCTTCTAAGTGGGTCCTAACCAGGCCCCCGGTGGAGACAGCCGCTTGTCCTGGGGGGTTGGGGAGGAAGGAGCCAGCAGGATCAAGACTCCTGGGGTCTTTGAATTCATGGCTCCTGCCTGCTAGGGTCCACTCCCGCCCAGAGCCTCTCGCCCCAGTTTTCCTGACTATAAAATGGGCAGGGCTTGGAGCAACAGTAGGTACTTTTGGCTGCTGGCCACTTTATCCTGATTTAGTAGTCACACAGCACTCCTTTCCTCCTGAAAACACCAGGTACATTTGGGTTGGTTTCCAAGAGGTTACCAGCCACCAGCTTTGGGAATATCGCGGAACCCTCTGTTCCCAGAAAGCCTGTACCTCCAGATCCAACCAAACACCGATGGGAAATGTTCAGGAAAAAAAACAGCGTCTCTGCGGATATAGACACTCTGCTTTTCTTGTGATTTCCCCTAAACCAGTGTAGGATGCTGGAGATAGGTAAAGTACACGGACGGGGCCTGCAGGGGTTATATTCGGACGCCGGGTGGCTTTATGTGAGGGCCTTGGGCATTCAGGGTTTTCGGTGTGGGAGGAGGTGGTGGACAACCTGTCCCCTCCAAACCTCCGGGAGGGGCACCCGTATGGAAATATTTCTAGCTCTCCAGAGTGGCTCCCTGTTCTTCCCAGGCCAGAGGTGGGGCTCCCCCTAGTGACCAGCAGGGGAATCATTACTTTGGCTTTTTTATTTAGGTAATTCCTAAAATTTCTGGATCCAGTGTCAGGGGAGTTCCCAGCCTGCTTTGCCCATGAGTTGCCTCGTGGTTGGGGGTGGTGATCGCAGGGGCATGGTGGCAGGGAGGGGAGTTCCTAGGTTTCTGTGTGTCACCAGGGGACCCTGCTTCTCAGCTCCAGGAGGTGATCGCTGTGTGGAAGGGAAGAGTGGCCCAAGGGGGTCAACTAGCCCCTCCCCTGACCCAGTGCAGGAAGCAGGAGGAGCGCAGACGGAAGGATGTGGACAACAGGCCCGCCAGCCCTGCTCCACTGCTCCTCCGCCTTTGCTTCTTTCTCTGCAACTTTCAGACCCTACCAGACATGGGGCGTCACTTTCACCTGGCGGGCCTTCCAATCGTCCAATCGCAGGTTCCAGGGCTCCACCCCTGCAGTGTCTGATTCCTTGGGTCTGGGCTGGGGCTTGGGATTTTGCATCTTCAACAAGTTCCCAGGCTGCTCTGGGCTCTGAGAAGCCCAGTCTGAATAAGCTCTTGGGTTCTCTTCCCATAAAGACAGATGAACTTGGGGGGGGATGGTACCTGAGAAGGCCCCAGCCTGGAATCCTGGGAGGATGCTTCCTGCCGACTCTGTGAAAGCAAAAGAGCACTTTGCGTTTATGAGCTCCTATTCCCACGTGTTCTGCAAATTGTCTTCTCCAGGCTGTGGGAGAAAGCTGTATCGCCTAGAAAACCCTACTAGTCCCCACCTTTCCTCTCCATCCAGCTCCAGGGCTTGGAATAGGTTTGGAGATCACTCCCTCCCAGGAGTGTCCCTGCTGGGGACTAGGGCATGGATCCCAACTTGAGCTGTGGGTGACATTAGCAGGATTATGACACAGAACACAGCCTTGGGAGCCAGAAGTGGGTTAGGCTTAGTCTGCAAGGGGCATCCCATATTAGTGGTTCAGTCTGAGACCCAGCTGCTCCACTTCTGATCCAGCTCCCTTCTAACGCACCTGGAAAAGCAGCAGAAGATGGCTCAAACGCTTGGATCCCTGCCACCCCTGTAGGAGACCCAGAGAGGTGATAGGCTTGAGCCTGGCACAGCCAGCAGATGGAAGTTGGATCCATCTCTGTCCTCCCCAGCCCCCAAATCTGGTTTGGGCCGCCCAGCCAGATTCCCTGAATGGGGCGACCCTTGGGGGTGAACATCAACTCTAGCAGTAGGAGACAGAGGACAATTTGGAATAATCCTGCATAAAATCCTGCCCAGTTATCTGAACTATGCTGAAGAATGCTCCCGCGTCTGCTTCCAGCTGCCGCACTGACTTAGAGGCATGGGACAGCTGCTCTGAGCCCTGCTCTGACAGCGGCGGAGGAGGGGGTGCAGGGCCAGGGCCCTCCACTGGACTTCTGGGATGGGAACTGAGATGAAAATGAAGATAACAACTTCATGCAATCAATCAAGAAAGTTCACCAAGTTTATCGCAAAGTTCATCTGCTTGGGCCAAGAAACTGAGGTCAGCGCAGCGGTTGCATCCTCCAGACTCCTGCAGGGAACTTGCCCTCTCTGATGGCGGCCTGCCCAGCCCAGCCCCCAGCGCCCGCAAGACACACACACGTACATGCACATGTATTTGCACATGCACACATATACACACTTACATATTCATATGTACACATACAGATATACAATGCATACACATGCATAGTTACACAAATGTACATGTCACAGATACATACACACATGGATTCACACACATCCAACATGCATATACATGTACTCACACATGCAGACTCACGCATACACATACAATGTAGTCACATGTGTACACGTACTCTGCCACAACTCACTGCTCGCTCTCCAGGGAGCAAGGACTGCGGAGAGGCAGGTCTCCCTGCTCAGGCAGCATACAGCCTGCTGTCTCATGCCCAACCGTCACCATTTTGTGGATTTCTCTTTGGTCGTCCCGGCTACCAAAGTAAGACCCTGGTGCCTGCCCTCGGCCTGGGACTCAACAGAGTGGCTGACCTGCTCCCCTCTTATTCTAGGGGGAGGATCAGCACAATCAGCTTGGAGCTGTCAACCAGCTTGGTCAGTGAGCGAGGTCACATCACATCACAGGGTATCCCATGCTGGTTTCCGGGGACCTACACCCCTCTGCCCTGAGCCCTCTGGTAGGGAGAAGGGAAGCCCAGAGCAGGGTGGTCTTCAAGGCTTCTGAAGTCATCTGAAATCCCCAGAAATTGCATGGGATGCTGATCAGTAGCTGTGCCAGAGTCCCCCTGGGGTTGCTAATTCAGTCAGGACCAGGTGGGCTGGGCTACAGCAATAAGCAAGCCCCCACACCACAGTGCCTGTGAACGGCAATGCCTTCTCACCCACACGTGTTAGTTCCCTTTGCAACCTCTCCTTATGGGAGTCCCTCAGGGACCCCTGCCAGTAGGGCAGTGAGCAAGTCACAGGGACAGAAGGAGAGCCTGCGGGGGGGGGGTCCCCAAACAAGCATTGGAAAGTTCCAGTATGAGGCCAGCACTTGGCACAGGGTGGAGCTCACTGCCCAGGAGGCTGCTTTGAGTGTCAGCCTCTGTTTCTGATTTTAAGCTTCCTGTTAGAGCACATGCTAGGAGGCAGTAGATGATGGCTCTAGTGCCTGGCCCCCTGCTGCCCACAGGGGAAATCCTGACTGAATTCTGGCCTCCTGACTCTGTCCCAGCCCAGCCCTGACTCTTGCAGGTTTTTGAGAAGGCGAACCAACAGGTGAAAGATCTCTGCTTTTCAGATGAAATGAACGTCAGGGCCTGGCATGGTAGTCTAGTGGCTAAAGTCCTCACCTTGCATCCATTGAGATCCCATATGGGCACCGGTTCTAAACCTGGCATCCCTGCTTCCCATCCAGCTCCCTGCCTGTGGCCTGGGAAAGCAGTCAAGGATGGCCCAAAGCCTTGGGACCCTGCATCCACATGGGAGACCCAGAAGAAGCTCCTGGCTCCTGACTTTGGACTGGCTCAGCTCCAGCCATTACAGCTGCTTGGGGAGTGAACCATTGGATGGAAGATCTTCCTCTCTGTCTCTCCTCTGTACATCTGACTTTGTAATAAAAAATTAAATAAATCTTTAAGAAAAAAAAAGTGAAAGTCAATGAGTAGAATCAATGCTCCATTCATTCCCGCTCCTAACTCACGGGCCAGAACAAGTTACATGGCCCCAGCCTATGGGTGGGAAACAAACCAACAAACCGTGAGAGCCTCCCCTGTGCCCAGAATGGAAAAAAGAACTGGAAACAGGCAACAGGCAGCCATACTGACCACTGCCATTGTTAAGGGCATGGAGC